CATTTGAAAGGTGTTTTCAAATAGATTCCATTTACTCGCTAGTAATTATACTTATTGAGGTCAAGGAAGCTTAGCTATCCTTCCAAAGCTATTCTCTGTTTTAATGCATTCTTCTGGCACCATTACCTAACCATCCTGGCTTGAGGGACGGGACACTATAGGAGTCGTCTTCTTTTTTCACACTTAGTGAAAGAAGAATATCACAGAATAAATACTCTAAAATGTTGGATGCCAGTGGGTTTTAGTTTTTTATTCTTCAATTGTGGGTCTGTTTTTGGAAGAAATATGAGAAAACAAAAGTTAACACATCTATCTATCCCAGTGTTTGCTCTTCTTAGTAATACAGATATCTTGTATTTTGATAAAATATGTGCACTCTCTAGGAAGTAATTAAATTTATGTCAAATATGGGTTTGTGACATCATAAATCAACTATATACAATTAACTGTTGATTATCTGGAAGGAATCCAGAAGTCACTTAATTCTGTCTTTTGAATGTCTGTTGACTTTGGTTTTGGTAGTACCTTTGTCTTCAACAATACATCTGACTTCAAGAAATCTTTGATTCCTAGATCAAACACTAAGTGAGCAGTGTGGGGAGCTACACATGGAGGCTAACTCAAATTGAAAAATGAAATATCAACAATTATGAGTGTATATATGTGTGTTATTCTACAAGATTTTCATTTGTATGTAATTTGACATAGAGTTCACAATGTACTTCTAAATTAATGTGCATTGCCAGTATTGGCATGCGATCAGAATTAATATTTTAATTTAACCAACTACCCAGAGGCAGCAATGGAGTAGTGACTAGAGAACTGGCCTCAGAGTCATGAAGAAAGATCTGGGTTCAAGGCTCACCTCTGACATAATGGCTTTGTGATTCAGCGCAAGTCATGTGACCCCTTAAGTGCCCCCAGACTCCTCTGTCAGACTAGAAGTTATGGAACTGTTGCTAGTCTGAATTGATAGAATGGGTTTCCTCAACAAGAGTTCTCTATGCCAAATAAGATTTATGGTCTGAACCAGTGGTCCAAAACCCATTTTTAAGGCGTTGTATTATACTGGGAGTTAGAAAACCAAGTTCTTGTCCCAGCTCCACAACATACAAGATATGTGATCTTTGGCAAGTCAGTGGATCTCTTTGAGCCTCATTTTCCTCATCTGTAGAATGGGAATAACAACCCTTGCCCTGCCTACCCCCTGGTGTTGATAAGTTCAAATGAGGTTCAGTTGGAGAGAGACAGAGACAGACAGATACAGAGAGAGAGAGAGAGAGAGAGAGTGTGCGCGCTGGATAAGTAGTGACTTTGGAATGTGTGTGTGCATTTGTTCCTGTGCTTGTGCAGAGCCTTATGTCTTGGGCTGGAAAAGAGACTTTTTTAGAAATTCTGTACATACTCCTTGATAAGCTTTCTAAGTAGTTCCGCATGATGTGTAATTGAGCATGTTATTGGGAGGAACAATTTTCCAGGTTATGCATTATTTTGGCAGTGTCTGTGAAACACTCAACTCCAATTTAAAGAGAGACTCATGTCTAAAAGATGGCATTCAGGCTTCCTCAGTTCTGAAATTCTTTTCCCATTTTAATTAAATGCATTTTAAAACTTGCTTGAAAGCTTTTTGAAAACAAGCACAGAAATGCAAAAGTCACCATTACTCTCCCTCTCTTCTTCAACCTATGTTGAGATATTTCAGATTTGGTCGTATTTCTAGCTAAAGATGTTCCACATGACTTCCCTTAAGTTTGAGTTGCCTGTTGCTTAATTTGGAGGGGGAGAGAGGGAGTCCTTTGTTTTTCTCTTCTCAGTGGCGTATGAAACCTATCTATAAATCCAAATCTTGACTAGTACTGAAGTTGCTAGTTTGTTAGCACCCTCCACCTGAATTAGTAGATAGTAGAGCCTAAGATAAGTTTGATTAGTTATTTCTCTTGCTCGTTTACCTATCAATATTATCGGTAGTAGTAACATAATAACATAATTAATAACAATAATTAACACAAATAAAAACCAATAATAGTAATTAACCAACAATTATCAGTGTAACAATCAGTTACATTAATACAATAATATTAATAATTAACATTGCTATGTTTATGGCTGAACATAGGCTTTCCTGCCATGTGCAAATCATTGAACCTCTGTGAATGTCAGTTTCCTTTTTTATGAAATAGGGATAATAGCTTTGATATTTCACTATTGTTGCCTTTGAGAAGTGAGTTTGGGGGCAGCTAGGTGGTGCAGTGGATAGAGCTCTGGCCTTGGAGTCAGGAGGACCTGAGTTCAAATCCCACCTCAGACATTTGACACTTAATAGCTGTGTGACCCTGGGCAAGTCACTTAACCCTGATTGCCTCACCAAAAAAAAAAAAATATGTAAAGTGTTTTGTGAACCTTAAAGCACTATATAGGTGTCAGTTCTTCTTCTAATAATATGTAGCAAGCATGCGTTACCTAAGCAGTCTAGGATCCAAGGATTTAGTGTTGGAATGGGCCTTAGCTGATTCTGAAATCCCTTCAGGGACTAAACAAGTAGTAACTAGTGGAACAAATATTTAAGCCTAGCTTCTCTTATTCCAAATCTGATGGTCTTTTTAGCCTCTTCTATGTTGAAGCAAGATGTGAAAAACTCCTTGACCATCAGTCATTAAACACTAAGTGGGTCCTACAGGTTGGTCTTGGAGACTTTTTCTTGGGAGATCTCCGGTAAAGGAAGCTCATGATTCCACTATGTAGATTATAACCTAAGAATATTATTAAAGAGAAAGAAGGTTTTGTGTGTGTGTGTATGAAAATATTTGGAAGCTTTATTTATGTTAATGAAAACCTGGAAATATGCACAGTGATTGGGAATGACAACAAAGTGTGGTATAGCAACATAAAAAATTATTAGTGCCCCATTCAAAATGGTGAAAATGAAGAATATTTGGAAATTCAGGAAGATATTTGTGAAATAATGCCAAGCACACAAAGCAGAATTAGAACAATAGAATGCATGTTGACTAGAGAATGTATGAAAAAACAACAGAAAAAATACATAAAGAATCAGATGGAAAAGGCACATGGAGGAAATGAGGTGTTATAGTTATTTAGTTGAAGTGTATATTTTTTTAAGTATTAAAGTGTTTTGATTACTTTTTGTTTTAATGAATGGACATTTTATTGCTCTAGCTGGATTAGATCATTGATTCCCAAGCCTAGTGTTTTGTTTTTGTTTTTGTTTTTTGACAGCCCAGGCGACTCTGGTTGTTGAAGCAACTATTGCAATGTTTTCCCTAAAAATTCACTCAAGCGATTTAAACAAAAATTCTTTATTTTGCTAGGGGCAGAGGATTGTCACGGAATCAGATAGGTTACAATAAAATATCACATTTTCTCAAAGTTTGCGAATCACTGCTTTGATTCTGTGCTTAATATACATAACAGCATACGCTTCTATAGCACTAACATAATAACGATAGCTACCATTTATATAGCAAAGTGCCTACAAATATTATCTCATTTGATCCTCACAACAATCTTGGGAGGTAGATGCTCTTATTATTCTCATTTTACGGATGAGGAAACCTGAGAGAAGTTAAGTGACTTGCCAAGGGTTACACAGCTAGTTCAAGATTTGAACTCAGGTCTTCCTGACTCCAAGTCTAATGCACTCTCCAGTGTGCCACCTAGCTGACATTTACATAGCATTTTCTCTGCAATAACCCTATGAGGTATACGGTAGTACAAGTGTTATTCTCATTTTCTGCATGAGGGAATTTTTATTTAGAAAGAAGTGGCTTTTGCACATGGTCCACACACCTAGTAAGCAGCAAGGCTGAGATTGTACCCACTTCTCCTGACTTAAAATCCATCCTCTTTCAACTGTATCATGCATCCTCTCATACATCTCTAGCATAGTCACAGCCTTTAACTTTCTTCAGTGTACCTTCACATAATTCATAGCACATAGTATAGGGACTTAATGACTGTTTGAATTGAATTAAATGTCCTGATACAGAATTGATTAATTCATTTAAAATTACAAAAGAAAATTTTATTTAGCTCTAATTGCATGATTTACATTTGGAGGAGATAAAAAATTAATGAAGGACATGATTCCTACCATTATGGCAATTAGACTCTGGTTGGTCTTATGTTACTGATACAGTTTGCTTTTAGGTTGCCTGCTTATTCTTGTGAATTGTTGTTTTTTTTTTTTTAACAGTACTTACTAAAGGTTAATGAAATCAAGATTAAAAAAGGAGTTGATTTACTTCAGAACTTGATCAAATATTTTCATGCACAGTGCAAGTAAGTGCTTCTTTCTTGTGATTATACTTAAAACCTATCTTTTTTTCATGGCAGCTGTGGGTATTTCAATGTAGAAAAGAAATCTACTAAATTATGACCCTCATTCAGAATTATATTTTGCCTTGTTGTTTTTGTATGATATTTTTGTGTTTACTTTATTTTTTGGGATAAATGTTTTGTTTGGATAAGTGAATTTATGTTTCTTTGGTGTTTATTAAATATTAAATGATGATAGCACTAATTGTATGACATTAGATTAAAGTTTTTGAACTACTGTCCTATGAAATCTGCCGCATTCAGTGTGACTAGCATACTTGACTGCATGTAAAAAGAATGAGAGCTTGATACTTGCTTTTTCTAAGTTTTTCCATTTCTAAAATTCAGTCAAGGTTAAACAGCACAAAAAGGTGTGAGAAGTGAGAAGTGATTTTACTTTCCTGGAGAACTCCAAGCTTGAGAAACAAACTAAGCTGAGCATAGAAAACATTAGCACCCTGGAGCCCATTTAAAGGAAAACAATTTCACATGAACCTATACTCTTAGCTTTAGGGTAACTGCCATTATACTTCTTCATTTTTTTCCCCTTTTCCCCTTGCATGGGGGAAATTTAGGATGCGAGTCTCTTCATTGTTACTATTTTAATTCTCAGTGGTTATTCTGAGTTTTCCTTTTTTTTTTTTTTTTTTTTTTAATTTGCCAGATTTGTCAGTTGGGTAGCAACAGAACTTCCTTTTTTTTGGTCAGTTGAAAGAGAAAGTTGACCTTTTATGGGCATAATTTTACTTCAATATTTAAAAAAACTAGGTAAATTATTTTATCAGTGTATTTGTTCCATTAAGGTAGATTGCAGCCTTTGTGAGTTCCTGGAAAAAAAAAATTCTTTTTTTTTTTTTTTTTGTGGTGGTCAGCCTCCTAATGATGAACCTCTTTCTGAACTTATTAGCTAGATTGATCAGCACTTGTAGACCTTTGCCAGACTTACAAATAATGACGATAATAGCTAGCATTTACATAGTACTTTAAGGTTTGCAAAGCACTTTATAAATGTTATCTAATTTATCCTCACAGTAACTCTGGAAGGTAAGATAATAATTATACCAGTATTGTAGATAATGAAACTATTAACACAGTAATAAGTAATACAGTAATAAGTGTCTGAGGCCAGATTTGAATTCTGGTCTTCCTGACTCCAGGTCCATAACTAACTGCATTGTTCCATTGACCTTCCTTGAAGCCTTTCCAACCTTCTAGGACCTGACAGAGCTGGCCTTGCTTTTGAGAGTCTAAGTCAGGGGTGGGGAACCTGCAGACTTGAGGCCACATATGGTCTCTAGGACCTCAAGTGTGGCCCTTTGACGGAATCTAAACTTCACAAAATAAATCCCCTTAATAAAAGGATTTGTTCTGTAAAACTTGGACTCAGTCAGAAGGCTGCACCCAAAGACCTAGAGGGCCACATGTGGCCTCAAGGCCACGGGTTCCCCACCCCCCGGTCTAAGTCTCTGTGCTATGATGAGGCATTGGTGAAATACTTTAGTACAGGATAAGTTCACTGACCTTTTAAAAAGATAGACCTCACACTGTCTGAATATATATATAGATATAGATATAGATATATACACACATTCGTTATGCTCTCCAAAGTCACCTACAGGAATTGAACATTTTTGTTCTTTTAAAACAAAATATAGGGGGCCTAATGATCCTACAAAAGAAGAAAAATGACCCTTAGCACTTCCTTTCTTATGTGCATAAATGTTATATCAATCTTCAGTGTAAGTGGTGGGTAGAGCTAGACTGAGGAGAAGATATTCTGCTCTGAGCAGTAATGAAGTATCATCATCATCATTATTTATAGTCTCTTTTTTGTCTTTAAGGACATTTACAATTCCAAATTATATTCAAACCATCCTAGGCTATGTAACTCAGTGGCCTTTGCTAATAAAATTTGGATGTGTGCTTTCAAGAAATCTAGAATTAGGGGTGATAATTTTTTTAAATAAAAAGGAATTAAATACTTAGAGGCAATAGATTTTCAGGAAAGTTTGAGAATTAACCTTGAGGACACAAAAAAATGGAAGAACTAAGGTCTTGATTCAGGAGGCCGGGAAATATTTAGAGTAGAAAAAAACTAATGTTTATGATGTTTATTAGAGGCAATATTTCCTTGGATGGGAAATTATAATAATACCAATAGTTTAGGCCACTGGAATCTTGGACAACACTTGATACTTCTGAGTGATAATGATGATTCAGTTCAGCACACTTTTTGTAAGCACACACCAGGAACTGGTGGTCACCTCCATTTTGTAGATAATAAAACTGAAGTTCACCAAAGTTATGGTGACTTGGTCTTGTATTAATTTTCACATATTAATCAATAAGCATTTATTTAGTCCCTTCTGTGTGTCAAAGATTGTGTTAGGCCCTGGGGATAATAAGACAAACGTGAAATAAACCCTCACTCAAGGAATTTATAATCTGTTGGGGGAAAGAATAGGTATATGTTATATAAACATATACAAAGTAAATCCAAGGAAATTTTTGGGGGAAAGGGGAAGGTACTAGCTGATGTGGAGAGATAGGATCATGCAGAAAGTGGCATTTACATACCTAGTGAGTGTTAGAGTTGGGATTCAAAATCAAGGCTAGCATTCTGCTGACTTTGTTAATAGAACCAGCAAGGTGGCACAGTGCTGGAGTTAGGAACACTGGATGTTGAAATCCAGATTGAGCTGTTTGTTCATGGGCAAATCACTTTATCTCTGCTTCAGTTTCCTCAGCTATGAAACTGGAATAAGTGATAACATCTACCTCATGGGGTTGTTGTCAGTATCAAATGAGGTAGTAATTGAGAAGTGCTTAGCACATTGTAAGCACTAAGTGTTAGCTGCTGATATAATAGTTATTTTTATTAATATTTATTAAGTAATATTAATAATTATTATTTTGTCAAGCTGTTTGTTTCTGATCCTGGCAGTGAGTACATCTTTAGAAAAGCAAACATTCTGAGGAAGTGACTTTAGCTTAACTCTACCAAATAATATTCTTGTAGAACTTTCTCACTCTCAAGAGGGTTGCTAGGTTGCAAAGATTCTTGGAGCTCTACTTTCCCTAGGGGTATTTCTGCACTGGGGTTACCAAAGGTTGAAATTGGTCTATTATTGGTTAGTTACTAACTCATACCCGTAATTCCCTTAAACTTAGAACTTCTAGCCAAAGGGTGAAACACACTTTCCAACTTCTCTGCACCCTTGACATTCTAGTCCTAAAGATTAACATGTGAGGTTTATAGTAGCCTGATCCCTGTGACCTTTAATTATTAGCTGCTGATTGCTTATAATTCACAGCCTGTGTTTTGTTTTCCCTTTTCTCCTCCCTGGGCTTCTTTGTTTTCACAACCTCATATATTTGTGGTGCCTGATTTGTGGAGGGAGGGAAGTATAAAGAAATACACATCTTCTGCACAAAAACACTTATGCCTGAGATCCTCTTTGGAAGACTGTTTCCCCAAGAGCCAATAAAGAAACAATTTGTCTAAGATTCTCCTTCCTTTGGTTCCTTCAGTTGATGTGCACAGATTTTTTTTTAAAACCAATGCTGAGTAGCTTAACTCGTTTAAAATATTTTTGCCCACCACCATCATCTCCACCATCACCACCTACTTCTGACCACCATCATCTCCGCCATCACCACCTCCTTCTGACCACCATCTTCTCCACCATCACCACCTCCTTCTGACCACCATCATCTCCACCATCACCACCTACTTCTGAACATTGTCTTCCTCCTATTCTAGTTTGCAAATTGCTTTACTTAAAACACCCATTTAAACCAGGTAATAAAGATTTATTATTTCCATTTTACAAATGAGGAAATTGTGGCAAAGGTGGATTCGAGTGATCTGTCCTGGGTCCTCATAATGTCAGAGCCTGGAATTGAACCCCTGTCTCCTGGCTCTGAGGGCAGCTAGGTGGTGTAATAAATAGAGTGCTGGGCCTGAAGTCAGGAAGACTCATCTTCCTGAGTTCAAATCTGGCCTCATATACTTACTAGCTGTGTGACCCTGGGCAAGTCACTTGACCCTGTTTGCCTTAGTTTCCTTATCTGTAAAATGAGCTGGAGTAGGAAATGGCAAACCACTCCAATATCTTTGCTAAGAAAACTCCAAATGGCATCACAAAGAGTCAGAAACGACTGAACAACAACTCCTGTCTCTGAGTCCAGCATTCTCACCACTTTAACATACTATTTAAATTCTTTACTGTTTCAAGGATCTGTTTGGTCTTGAAGAATTTTGTTTGGTCTTGAAGACTGCTTCCAGTAGGGCAGATTAGTACCTCCATTCATCTCTTCCTTGGTATATGGTCCTTGTAAGTGGGTGTGACCAAAAATTCATCACCCTGGAGCTAGCTTGGTAATGAGGCCTTTCCTCTGACTATACACATGCTAGTCCATGCCAATTTGGTACTCTTTTGCATTGATGTAGAGTGTGTCAGAGTTTGTGTACCATTGGCACCATCTTAAAGAACTCAGTGTCACTATGTGCCACAATGAAGCATTGACAAGAGGGCATTGGTGGAGAGAAATTCATGTTGTTTTTTTTAATAGCCTACTCCTAGATGTTTACATTTGTTTTTCATGAGCTATTCATTATAAGTGCTGTACCTATGAGCATTATTTCTGGGTTGGTTTGTTTGTTTTTTAAGATGGTTAATATACTTGGACATTTGAGTGTTTTCTGAGCCTGAGTTTCCTATTTCCTTTGGCTCAGCTTGGTATCCCTTGGGCTCTGTAGGTGGTATTTCTCTGTTCTTCACCAATTTTCAGTTTGTTACTCATTTTTTTCCCTTCTTCCTTATCAATATAATCCACTCTTTTCCAGTAAAAATCTCTAGTTTCTGTTGTCCCCTTCCCTCCCTATTTTGTTGCCCTTCCCCCCATCTCCTAATTCTTCCTCCTTTTCCCTCTAGTCATACTTTTTTGGGCTTACATTCTTTCATGTCAGATCAACCGACCAGAAGCCTCTGGTTATTAATCCTTCACAGCCACTTTTTCAGTAGGGTCATATTTCCTATTGTGTGTTGCAGGCAGAGAAGACATTTTATGTGTATAATAATAATATATAATATATAAATATTGTATTAATAATAATAAAATGCATAGACCATTTTCTCTTCAAGCTTAATGTAGCTCCGCAGAATCAGGAAAATAGATTTTCTTTGCCTAACCTAATTTTGCAAGTGCCACTTAATTCTCATTTGCTCAAACTTTTGAGGTCCTTTTCATCTTTTTTATTTCATCATAATTATAAGAACCTTAGCCCCTTTCCTATTAAAGTAGCTTTTTTCTCCTTTCCTTTCTGTATTAACCTTGAAAATCCAGCTAAATTCTCTTTTCCCTTGTGAATCAGTCTTTTTTTTTTTTTCAAGTTTCTTCCAGGATGGACTGAAAGCTGTTGAAACCCTCAAACCCTCCATTGAAACTCTTTCAACGGATCTTCACATAGTAAGATGTGACCTCTTACACTTATTTTAAAATGGTTTTTACTATTAAAGAAATGCTTTTACTTCAAATGTTGGTACTCTGCCTTCTTGAGTTTCCATACTATTCAATCAGACACCTCTTTTTAAAAATTTATTTTTATATTATTTTGGGTAGAACAAAAAAAGAGCATTTCCATATACAATATAGAACATGAAAAGATAATGTATGAAGTAGCACATTTCTATTCAATACAGCTTGCTTTTTTTCTTCTTAGAATATATCATAAATTCAGCACATTATTTTCAAAGCTATGCTGTTTGTATTGAGCGATTTTCTTCTAATACCACTTAGAATTGTTGTCAATTTTTTCATATTCCTATTTATTGCCTATCCTTGTTTTGGTTGTTTGGAATATCTTAACTAATTAAGGAATAAATTTTCTTGTATAATGATCTGTAGACTTTTACCTTTCTTCATTTTAACCCAGGTTTTGTCTTTTCTGCCTAATTTAGATCAAACAGGCCCAGGATGAAGAAAGGAAACAGTTAATACAGCTACGAGATATTTTAAAATCAGCACTCCAGGTTGAACAAAAAGAGGTGAGGGGATTTAATTTTGTAGGCTTTATGGTTCTCTTGGTTTGTTTCTAAATAGTTTTGGAAACAGTGGTACAGTAGTGAAAAGATCCCTGGATTTGGGGTCGTTGAACCTGGCTTCACATACTAGTTCTGTTATTTACCACCTAAGTGTTCTTAGGCACTTGACCCTCTTGATGCCTCAGTTTTCTCACCTGTAAATTGGAGGAGGTTAGAATGGGTAACCTTGATGCTGCCTTCTAGCTCTACCAGCCTGTGATTCTTAAAACAGCATTATAAAATCAAGTTCTGAGGCTGTTTAAGGTCTTGATTGTAAGCACACTAAGTCTTTGGCTACACAGTACCAAAATTACTGGTTTGCTCTTTCAGTTTACTCCAAGTCTTAGTCCAGTGTGAAAAAAAAGCCAGTAAAACTTGTCTGTTTACCATCTTTGGGACATGGCTTCAGTATTACCTTGTAAAATCTCTTCTGGGTATCATCTTCATGGGCAGGGGGCCCCAGAATTGTTCTTGGTGGCTTCGCCTTTCTATAACGCTGTGCTATATCACAAAGGAAAAGACTTTTTTGTTTATGCTGATTATTTTCTGGGCTAAAATGTTAATAGTTTCATCTTTATTCTCCTTATTCATATAAGAAATATAAACACATAATGTAAAAAGGGTTTTAAAAAAGAATTGTGTCTTCCAAGGCAGAAACCAGGCTGGAAACCTATAAGTCTCTCCTAAACAATACTTTTAGAGGGGAGGTGTCATAGTATGGTAGAAAGAATATTAAGCTCAGAGTTTGGAATTTTATCCCTGGCATTAAGCTTGGGTAAGTCATTTAACTTTTCTAAGCTTTATTTTCCTTAGTTGTCAAATGAGGGTCTTGTTCTAAGGTCCCTTCCAGCTACTATTTCCTGTGAAAAGTGATGTCACTGAATGTTAACATACCAAAACTCAGGACTTGTAATAGTGGACTTGTACTTTTTGTAATAAAGCCCAGTGTGGTATCATTAAGCTATCACCTTTTCAAGAGTATGCTATTCTTTAACTTTATATATCTATTTGCTTTGCACTGTAGGAATTGCCTTAAGATGTGCTTAGTAGTTGTTAGAAAACAGGTTCATGTTAATGTGCTAGTAATTAATTTAGTAGTAACATAAAGCTCAGCATTAATATTTTTTTATTTTATATTCTTGTGCTATAACTGAATATTATTATTTTTTTCTCCTGATAATGCATTTGCCTTTTGTGACCGAAGTCTAGGAGAGTAAGTAGTTTAGAATTCTATAAATTGAAGTACTTTGCATGTTCCTTTCTTGAACATCAAGAAACTGGATTTTTCTCCCCTAACTATTTTATTGGGTAGAAGTAGCTTAAATTTGTGACTCTTTATTTCCTTTTATATCCACATATCTTGAATAAAGGACAGAGACCCTTGGTTCTCCCACTTCACCATAAGCAGTGAAATTGATGTCCCTTTTGCCACCAGGAACTTCCAGTGCTCATAATTTGTCATTTGAAGTTGCCTACTCAAAATGCAACCTGGAACACTGCCATTTTCCTTCTGGTGTTGAAAATAAATTAAATCCAGTTCCTTGGTTTAGCTACTTAGTGAAGTTTCCTGGATTTTTTTGTCCATTGTGTATGGAAATGTGTATTTTCCTGGTTTCAGTGCACTGAGGAGCTGTCGTTGTAAACATTCACAGGAAGAACTGTATTTTTGTGAATGAGTTAATGTGTATTTTTGTCCTGGTGATCAGTCTTTCTACAGTGCAAATTCCTCTGTGAATTGTTTTCAGTGACTATTTAAAAGAGAGGCTGGGTTGTTCTTATTAGTCTTGTTTGGTTCAGTGTGTTAGTACTTTGGGGCCCTCTGTGGAGCATTATTCAAGGAGATTGGGCTTCAGGGACATAGCTCTTATGGTTTTGCCTTCTAGTTCTTGTGCCCCACATACTGGTGTCTCGTGAATGGTTTTAGTGACGATGTCACATTCTGCTCCGATTTATTTATATTTGCACCGTCTCCCTCCTCAGGTTGCTTGTATGGGAAATTTAGCTATGAGTGTTAGTTTCTTTTTTTTTTTAATTTGGGAGGAGTGCCAAGACCACACCTCTGAAATGCATTCTTTCTTTTCCACTCCCACTACTACCATCCTGTTTAGGCTCTTACCTCCTTATGCCCAGGTTATTGGTACACTCTACTAGCCCGTGCACCAACCCTATCTTTCATAACGCTCCCATATTAACCTAAACATTTCTAAAGCTAAACAATTCTAAAACAGTTTTCATTAGGTCACCTCCTTGATCAAAAAATTTCCTAAGTTCCTCACTACCTACCAAGTAAAACCAAAACTCAGCTTGGTATTCAATGCCCTTCACCACTTGACCCCAAACTATCATTGTAGCATCACCTCAAACTATACACCCTGACTCCAGGCCAAAGGTGTCAAACATGAACTCCATAAGTGTGGCCCTAAACAAATTAAAATGTAATTGGAAAATACTTAACAAGATAATTAAAAATACAATAAAATATAAATTACAATGCATTTAAAAACTAAGTCAATGTGCTGTCCCTATAGATCCTTAGGTATGATTTAGTGGCCCTTGACACCACTGTTCTAGGTGGACTGAACCATTCTCTAAACACGATTCAGGCTTTCTTTCCTGCACCTTCTGCCTCTGTCAAAGCTTGTTGAATTCCTCATCTTTGAAGACCTAGCTCCAATCCTAACCTTCTCAAATCAAATGAAATAGCATATTAAAGCACTTTGTATACCTTCAAGCTCTCTATAAATGTGAGCCATTATTCTCCATGAAACCTTTCTTGAACCCCTTGGAAGTGATTTATCTCTCTTCTCTTCTCATTAACATATTCTAATTTTTGTTTTACTTATCTCAATCCATGTCTCATGACTCCTACTAGATTGTAAATTCATGTCTTATTCATCTTTGCATCTCCCCCAGACCATAGCACAGTGTAGTGCATAAGCATATAATAAATGGTTGTAGAAGTGTTACACACACACACACACACACACACACACACACACACACAGAGGTTTCCTTACAACCTACAAAATATAGGTTATTGTACTGTGACAATTCCAAACATCAGAGATAAGCAGGAAAAAAAAAAGCCAAAGACTTTGGGATGTGGGAAAAATGAAGACAAAAGTGTACATTGAAAATGAAGTGTTGAGGCCAGGAAGAAACCTCTAGCATCCCAGAGTGGCTGTTTAGTGAGTTACTAGGAATGGGTGAGAGAAGCTTTTGTTTTTGGATGGAAGACTGAGCACAGCTAAGAAAAGCACCAAGTTAAAAAAAAAAAGCCAAAGCAGAGCCAACTCAAAGGTTTATCAGCACTCTGGGCACAGTGCAAGGTCTGTGTTTGCTTTGCTTGAGTACTGTTAGGAGGTTTGGGAGCATGGGACTGTTTTCACATTGCTTGCTATTTCCAGCTTTGCAGAGAAGCATAAAAAATTTACCGGCACATTCACCCTATCTTCGTGTTTATTTTTAAATTTTTTCCCCCTACTCCATCTGCCCTAGTGAACACATAGGTAGTCAAATAAATATTTCTTACTACTGCTGTCTGCCTCCTTTTCCGACTGGCTGCAGGTCAATATTAAACCTTTCAGCCCCGCTGTTGTTGGGGATGGTGGTTTTGGAAATTGTACCTTGAATTGCTTTTTAGTGTTCTAACAATTGAAAATAATTGATAATGCAAGCTGTGGGTAATGCGCAGTTGTTTGGAAGATAATTGTTACAGATTTTAAAATGAGCTTCCTGACTAGCAAGTTCAGTTTCCCATCTCTCTACCGCTAATCACAAAGTAAACTTAGCTTGCATTATTGTTATTTAGACTGATTCTTTTTGGTTATTTTTCCTATTTCACCCGTCATTGTTTGGACTATGTAAAACAGATTGAGCAAGAATATACCTGACATGCAACCATGATTGATGACTCTGACCTGGGTGGTGTAAATTAGAGTTGTGTATAAGAATACTGATGAAGCTAGATTAAGAAGGGCTTTAAATGCCAATCGGAGGACTTTCTATTTAATACTAGAGACAACAGGAAATTAATGAAATTTATTAGAAAAATCATTTTGGCCACTGAGTGGAAGATGGGTTACAGTAGGGGAAACCCAAGTCAGGGAACCAGTAAGGAAGCTGTTGGTCCAAGTAAGAGGTGATGAAGACCTAAGTGGCAATAATGGGATAGACAAGAATCCAGTTTTGAACATTTTGAGTTTGAGATACCTACAAGACGTCAAGGTTGAAGTGTCCTCCAAAAAATTGAAGATGTGAGACTGGAGCTTGGGAAACAAACTAGGACTGGATAGTGTAGGGGTCATCTGCATAAACACAGTAGTTAAACCCATGAGGGCTAATACGGTCACCCAGTAAGAGAGTGCAGAGAAAGAGAAAGGCCCAGGACAGAGCCTTGGGGGATACCCACAGGAAGGGATGTAATATGGATGATGTTCCAACAGAAGAGTAAGAGGCACAGTTAGACAAGTACAAGGGAAACCAAGAGAAGACAATACCTCCCCCCCCAAAGAAAAACAACCCGAAACACCTATCTAGGAGATTTGTTACTAGGTTTTTCAATACCAAGTGGTCTGTACTTACTGGTTTTACTACCTTTGTAATATGAGAAGTGCCTGATACCCACAGAAATCTCTGGAGTCCATGAACTTGCTTTTTAAAAATATTTTTAGGGATGGCTAGGTGGCGCAGTGGATAGAGCTCCAGCTTTGGAGTTAGGAGGACCTGAGTTCAAATCCGGACTCAGACACTTGACATTTACTAGCTGTGTGACTCTGGGCAAGTCACTTAACCCTGATTGCCTCACCAAAAAAGCAAAAAAAAAAAATTTTATAACTATATTTCAATATAATTGATTTCCTTTGTAATTCAGCGTATTTCATTTTATGCATTTAAATCATTGCTTAGAGAAGAGCTCACTAGGCATCACCAGACTGCCAAAGGGATCCATGACCCACGCAAAA